ACTATGAGAACTGATTGCGATGATTATTTCCCAAGTGGCAGTTGCTTGTATCTTATCTTTGTGATTTTTCTATCTCTATGTTCCATTTGCATTATAATTCAAATATTTTAAATTGGCTTGTGTCTAGCAAACAATATTGTCAAAATTGGAGTTGAGATAGTAATTCTATTATTCTAGCAAATGTTAAAATAAGTAATAACTGTTTGTGGCCAACCCAGTTGGCTTAGAGACCTGCCCCCGGGAGTGGTGGTGCTCACTTCGGGGGGTGTCTGGATGGGGTACAGAGGCCTGGCCTTGGAGTCTGTGCCTGGTCCCCCGCCTGTTCATCTCTGGAACTGTTCTCCTGATCTGTTTCCTGGCAGCCATGAACTGAGGAAGTTTGCTCTGTAACACCCTTCCACCAGGGGGTCTCTGCCTTGGAGTCAGCTGATCATGGACTAAAACCATGAACAAATCAGACTTCTGCTTTGAGTTTTGGGTGTCGAGGATTGTGTCTCAGCTATGAGAAAGCTGACCAATACACTCTTTTATGAAACATTATGTCTTAGGCCAAGTGCAGTCATCTTGCATCCTTCAGGCTGCCTTGGTCCAGCCAGCCCTGCCAGAAAAGCTCACACAGGCCCTGAATGAAGAAGTGAGACGGGTGTTGTAGGGAGGAACAGTGCAATGACTGGTTCTAAAACAACCGTACATTCGTTAAAAAACTAGAATGAGTTTAGAAAACATCTAACACAGACCCTTACCAAGGGTTTGCTAAGCGCAGGGCTCTTCTCTGGGTGCTGAGAACAAAATAGTGAAGAAAACAAAACAAAATCCTTGCCTCCTCAGCATAGGAGTAAGGAGTAGGACCTGTTCCCACCTCCATGTTAGCTTAAGACAACAAGAGACTGCACGGAATGCTTATCCCCATCTCATTGCTACTGTAAGGGTGAAATCTTAATCTGTGTGAACCAACCCAGCTCCCGGCTCATCTGAGTTCATTCCACCTGGAATATGCCGCATACGCTGCTCACTTCGTGCTTCCCTGGCAGCCACTTCTCAGTCTCCGTGCTTGTGCTGTAAGAGTGTGTGTGTTTGGGGAGGTCCTCATTTATAGAAGACAGTGCTGCAGTTACACAATTTATGACTTTCTAGGATGTTACCAGCCTGTGGTACCTGTAGACAGGGTTTGGGGCTTCCTCTCTCACATAGCTTTATGGACATTTTCCTGGCTAATTTTGATCTCTTGGTACTCACTTGTCTGAGGTGTTTGTGTTCATTATCTGTATCAGTTTCTGTGTCCTGGCTCTGTTTCCTTGCAAACCTGGAAACTCTTACCCAGTCAAACCCTTCTGGTCCAAGGAAAAGAAGCCTAACTCTGACATTCCATTCTCGAGAGGCAACTCCATTCCTGACAGCGCCGATGTTTTTCACAGGCACAGCCACCCCCAGAGAGGCTTTGGGTTGGATGGAAGAAATCATTAGAAATGAGTTTGGGCACAGAGTTGAGTCTCTCCTTTTTTATTTTAGATCAGTGGAATTAGTGAAAACTGCTATGAACTCATGGAATTTTCAGTCTTTGAAATTCCCAGATGTCTTCATGAAGTTGTCTTTGAAGAATGCTTATTTTACAGTGTGTGTTTTTCCTTAGAAGAGGCGAAAAACAGAGTGGGCCTTGTTAGAGGGATAGCTGAGATTTGAGGGTAATTCATTTTATTAAGGGCTTGCTGTGCTTTATCACTTTTGACCTTCAAAACAAACTGGTGGTAAATGAGCTGTAAGTAACCTTGTGCAACACACAAGAATGTAGACTATCAGAGAGGCCCTTGGTCCCCCTATCATGTCAGGGAGTGGCTGGGTTAACATCAGCTCCATTTGATACCAATAAAAGCCTTCCGCGATACAGTCCATTAATATTTGTGCGGCGCTGAAATTGTGAATGCAGATATATGCATAAACATTCGGTGTAGGGTTTTCCTTATACGTTCATTTAATGACCAACTGAATTAAGGCAGAAGCTGTGGGACTTGCTTCAAAATTACTAAGTGGTGGTCTGAAGGGGAACCCAGGTCTCTGAATTTCATTCCAAGCTTATTTCTACTACAGCTTTTTATTTCCAAGAGAAATGGTTCACCTTTGGATTTGACAGAATCACTCAGTTAAAACTTAGGGTATCAACAGTTATAGTATAGAGGATTTTAAGGGTAGAGTCCTAACACTGATATATAAAAACATCAATCCCATTAAACTCAACAAATATTTATTTAATATTGTCTGTTATTGGTTGTATTATGTCTTTTCTTCACTGTTTGGACCTTCCAAATAAACTGTTCTACTGCCGGAACAAAAGAAAAGATAAAAATCCCTTTTCAGAACTCAAGACTTCAGGTTACAGTGGTATGTGCATACTGATGTTTATAGCAGCACAATCCATAATAACTAAATTTTGGAAGCACCTGTATGTTCATCGACAGACAAATCAATAGAGAAAATGTGGTATCTGTACATAGTGGAATACTACTTGGCTATAAAGAAGGATATGTTTGAGACATTTGTAAGAAAATGAATACATCTTGAAAACAAAATGCAAGGTGAAATAAATGAGTCACACAAGCTTAAATGCTATATGGTTTCTCTCATTTGAATAATTCTAAGTGCAAATAAAGAGTAAATTGGAGGACTGATAAGGGAAGCGGATCTTTTGCAAATCGGAAGAGGGTCGAGACTGAAGGCGGGGGAGAGGGGAAGGAGACACGAAAAGGTGTGAGGAGTATCATTTGCACATACCATCTCTTCACAGTGAACGTAATCATTACATGCACAAACCTGAGCTAAAAGTAACAATAATAATAAAAATGGGGAGAGGGGATCTAGAGATGGAAGAAGGAGAGAAGAGGGGAGGGGAGGGGAATACAACGAATCAAGATGTGTTAAGCACACTACCCGCCCCCTCGGATGAGGTAAACTCCATGCATTCATACGTGCACCGTATGTATACTTTTACATTTTCCTTCTCAAATTCAAGATTATTTCACCCAGGAAGAGGTGCAGCAAGACAACAGGTGAAAATGCAGAAGAAAAGGTCTGTTTCATCAAAATGTCCTACTAGAATGTGCCACTTAAAAGAAAGAAACAGTGGGCTGGGGATGATGTAGCTCAGCGGCACTGCGCCTGCCTGGCAAGCGCAAGGTCCTGAGTTCAAGCCTCCTGGTACCGAAAAAAATGATAAAGGAAAAAAAGTGTTATGGGAGCCGCATAATCACTGGAGATAACTTTGATTCGGGCATCGCTGCTGCACGCATGGAACTGGTACCAGTTCTGAGTCCACTAACGGGAGGGTGGAGCATGCGCGGTTACAGGGTCAGGTAATCCGAATGACTGACTGCCAACATCTCCTCCCCTAAACCTATTCTCCAGTCTCCAGCAAGTGATGGAAATCGCTGATACCAGCTTCCTTCCTCTCCTCCCCACCCGGCACCCCAGCCCACCACCCTGTGACGGAGAGGTCAGTGAGCAAGGAGACAGCTAAGACACTGTGGGAGGAAGGAGAAAGAAGGAAAGTTGATCAGCACTTCAGGGAGTAAGAGCTGTTTTTTATGTGATGCTTTAGAAAGGCATGTCTGCTGCATGCCGACCGTACGGTGATCTCACACACTTGCACAAAAGCACACCTCAAACACAATTTTATTAGATTTTTATATGTGAGAAAAAGAGCAATTCATCATTTGTTTAAAAATACTAAAAACTACAGATATGGTTGAAATTTTCTTTGACGGTTCCCTTCAATCTCACACCTGCTTACTCTCCTGAAAAGGAGCCCACCGCCTGACACCTGTGTATAATATAAAATGTTCAGGCCTACCCAGGCTGTTTCTATGTGCTCATGTAAAAATTCAGTCTGGGTAAGTGAGTTGTTTGTGTCTCAGTGAACCCCAGGAGATCTGTGTTGTCCTCTGGGTGTAAACACTGAGGTGTTCTCAGATGCCCACAAGGAAGGACTCTGCCTGTCACGGCTGGGAGGCTGTGGGCAGCATCATCTGCAGGGACTTTCTCCTCAGCCCAGTCCCCTGCAGAGGCAGGCAGTACCCAGCAGCAGAGCTGCCTCTATCAGACACCCATGGGCCGAGCTCTTAGTTTGCTGCAAGACTACTGTATCTTGCTCTGCTGGCCCAGATGGGGACAACTTCACAGTGCCCTACTTCCAGAGCTCTCTGTGGGTGACCGAGACTCCAAATGGGTCGCCTCTGCTCGGTCCACTTCCTGGGATGTTAGTCCCAGGCACATTCCTGGTCATCCTCCCAAGCATTTGGCCCCATCTCCTGGCCAGCTTCCCAAGGGGTCTGTCCTGTGACCTGCCACTCGCTTACCTCTTTACCCCGTGCTAACGTCTCAGAAGGTCCACCTGTTAAGAAACACAAGTCTGCCTCATTTTTTAAATATTGCTGTAACGTTTGAATCAAATGGGTGGTTGTTCATCAAAGTTCTGGTTTCTCTTCTCCCTGGGTCCTCACGTCGAGTACACCGGAGAAGCTGTGGTTGAGTTACAGGGACACTGAATGGACTGTGGACAGAAGAGGAGCGAGGTACTTCCTGGCCTGCTCTGCTAAAACCCTCGTGAAGACCCCATGGCATTCCTCATGCCCGGGACATCAGCTGCTGCATAGGATCAGCAGAAGTTGGAGCTTCAAGATGGAAGAAGGCTGGATTACTGAGTCACCATGCCGAACTGTGAATCTGCTGAAATATTTAAGAGTACTTCTTAAAGGAATTTGCCTTCCCTTAAAAGTGAAAGAACTTTTTGTTGCTTCCTTGCTGTTACACACAACACTGTTGTAAATGCTCCATGTACGTTTCCGTGACAACCAGTTTCCCTCACGCAAATACAGAGCAGCTTTGGAAATGTACCAGTCTGAGGATCAGTACATATCTTTGCACTGTTTTCTAACATAGTTATCCCGGTGCATTCTCTCTGGAGTGGAAGGGGCTATTTCTCATGTTTTTAATGCATGCCATATGCCAAGTGCTGTGCTGGGCATTCTGTCTGCGTGAACTTATTGGAGTTTCGGAGGTGTGAATTTCTGTTAGATAGCTCTGCCTTTCATATGACCAAACTGAGGTGGGATGATATCATTTCCAGATAAAGAGCTAAGGTTTAAACCTGAGGCTCCTGGCTAGATCTCTTTTCTCTTAGACTATTACTGCTTACCTGCAACCCTTGTGCCAAGTCGTGAGGCATCAGGTAAACGATGTACCTGAGCAGCTCGCACCTCGCGGTTCATGGGGACTCACCCGGCCCGGGGAGGTCCCTTCGTGAACCTTCAGGGCTCATTTCTACCTATCCAGGAGGGTTAAGCGCTGATCGCTGAT